GCATAGTTCCTAGCAATGCCCCCACATCCAGCACTGTTGGCTTTCCAACTCTCATCCGTGTTAAACTTATCCACCCCCTAGGAGGTGGCTGCCATCTAACCAAAATCGGTGGATGAGGGAGCCTCCTCTCATCCAAATTCGTAGGTCCCAAAGAAAGAAAATAATTGATGCCCGAAAAGAAACTTTTTTTTTAAAACTCCCCATTCTTCACAGTTTATTAATGTAAGCAATGATATTGGTAAAGATCATCATATTCTGAATGACCTTACCTTCATGAATAATGTCATTACGAGCCATCCAGATAAACCAACATATGATGTAAGAGTAAATTTGCCAAAAATGTTTCTGCTTACGGTCCAGATTGCAAATCAAGGTAGTGAGCAAAAGATTCCTCTCAGAAGTAATTATAGTGTCAAACCACAAACCAACCTTCCTCCAAATAAATAAATAAAAAAAGACGAGAAGAAAATATGCTCTATAGTCTCTTCTGCCGAATTACACAAACAACGAGAGGCGATTCTCAAACCTTTCAATTTTAATATATTATCACATGGTATTATAGAATGAAAAATGTGTCATGCCAGGAAAGACATAGGAGTTAATGCCCAACTCCATACCCCCTCTCCCCAAGGGATTTTTTGAAAATTATGCAAAGCAAAGAGGCATATAAAGCTGATGGAGCTAGTCATGGGAAATTTCAAAGAATGAGTATCATGCAATTGAGGATCAATAGGAATGGTGGAAATGAACGTAGCTCCCTCCATCCCCAAAATGCCGTAGTGGAAATGAACGTAGTTCCCTCCATCCCCAAAATGCTAGTATGAAGAGAGAGATTTCAATGATCGTCAACCCAAGTATCTGACACTTTGAGACTGGAATACCTCGTATCCCTCGTATCAAGTAAAACATGAGACCAACAATCTTGCCAGAAAGAAAGATTTTCACTACCCATCTCCAAATAAATGAAATTCTTGCACAATCTCTAATATAAAACAATCTCCTCAACATCGTGGAATTCCCCAACCGCCAATTAATTAAAGCAGGATGAGAGAAGCGGCAATATTTCTCGTGCATGAAATTAGCCCATAAAGACTCTCTTTTCCTGAAATTAAACCATTGCTTAAAAACATTAATATCAGTAATAGGTTGTAGAGATTTGAAGCCCAAACCACTAGCATACAGTGGTTTGCAAATATCCTTCCAAGGCATTCATCTTCTACCAGAATGATTTTTCACCCATAAAAACTTATTGAAACATCTATCAAGGTTCAAAATAGTGTTTTTTTTGGGTTGAAGTACTTGAAAAGTGTATAAAGGAAGAGAGTGAAGGATACTCCTGAGCAGTGTAATACGACCCCCAAAGGAATGGAAATTATTTTTCCAATCCAAAATTCTTTTCCGTACCTTTTTCACCACCTCATCAAACTGTATACGTCTCTTTCTACCTTTAAGGAGAAAAACCCCCAAATATTTAAGAGGAAGGGTAGAGTGGGAGAAACCCGTAAAATTGACAATCCAGCATGCATTAGAACGATTGACCATGTTTCCCAAGTATATGTTACATTTACTAGCATTAAATGAAAGACCATAGACAAATTGGAAGTCAACCATTAAGCTGTGAATCTCCTTCACTATATATATATATATATATATATATAGCGCCATGTTTCCGCCTCCGTCTCTGCTAGGGTTTGTGATTCGATGGCAACGCGAGTGATCGTTCTTCATGGCTCGCTCTTACGCTGGAATGACGGTCAGCGGCCTCGGTGACACCGATAAAAGGCCTCGTTCTTATGCTAGTGTCACCGCTGATGGTGTTCCAAACTTCCCTTCTGCTTTCTACAATAATCTCGCGCTCGATTCCGATACTTCTTTCGTTCGACGTCCTGGCCAGAAAGGGGGAAAACTTGCTCTCTTCCTCTCTGATGCCGAGAACGGCAAACTTGCCTCTTCCTGCCGTCTTCATCTGGTAGGAAAGTTCCTCTATGGGATTCCAAAATTGGAGTTTCTTCGAAAACATTTTGAATTGATGAGGCTTACGGGAGAATGGAAGATTGGTCCTTTGGATGGAAGGCACATTTTGATTCAACTGTCTAATGAAGATGATTATACACGCCTGTTTGCGAAACGTGTGGTGTGGTTTGAGGACTGCGTTATGAAGGTATTAAATGGTCAGCAAATTTTGGGATCCTAAAGCAGAGACTCCTATTACTCCAGTCTGGCTTAGATTCCCATATTTGAAAGTTCATCCCTTCAATCACAAAATTCTCTTCTCTTTAGCGGCTATGTTCGGGAGACCTCTAAAATTAGATGCTCCCACCTATAATCCTATAATCTCACAAGCACAAGACCTTCCATGGCTAGAGTTTTAATTGAAAGGGATGTTACCTTACCTCCTCCTGATGAGGTTTGGATTGGGTCGAAGCACATTGGTTACTGGCAACAGGTATTTTTAGAACAACGCCCCTCCTATTGTACACACTGTCAAATGTTTAGTCATGATCAGGATCAATGTTTCAAGTTGCATCCTAAAAGGGGATGGTAGGAAACAACCGCACATGGCTAATGTTGCGGCTGTTCAGGTTGATTTACCAACCGTGTCCCACCCCTCTCTTATCCCTACGGCTCCTGCCGAGGGTAGAATTGAGCAGGTGCTATCGGCCTCGATTCTTCCTGATATCCCTAATATTGAGGGGGTTTCTGCCTCTTTATCGGACTCGATTCCTCCTGATATCCCTAATATTGAGGGGGCTTCTGCCTCTCTCCCTGTTATTCCGAATGCTGATAAAAACCAGGACCCTACATTCTCTAATGCTATTGTCCCGGTTGAGAATACAAGGCAGGTTTTACCTGCTCTGGACCCTCCTATCATCTCTACTACTGAGGGGACTTCTACCTCTCTCCCCTTTAGTTCGAATGGTAATAAAAACCAGGACCCTACCTTTTCTAATGCTATGGCCTCGGTTCAAAATCCTAGGCAGGTTCTACCTGCTCAGGACCCTCCTATCAATACTCTCGGCTTCTCTCCCTGATGCCTTGAATATGGATAATATTTCTCTTTATACTCATCGCTCTGATACTCTCTCTAATACTCTCTCTGAAACTCCTTTGAAAGATATTTCAAAAGGTTTAAGGGATGAATGGCATGTGCAAAAGTATCGTAGAAGGAAGAATAGAGTACAAAAGGAGGTGAAAAATCATACTAATGGGAATAATATGCTAGAGATGAATCAGTACTTTTCAGATGGAGAAAATGGACGGACCAGACCTAGATATATATATATATATGGCATGTTGAAAATGTTTGATATGGACGAAACTTATCTCCACCTTGTTTATTGCAAATAGGATTCTATAATAAAGAAGAAGAATGAGATCACATATGTACACTATGGAAAGAGAGATAATGAAAACTCCACTTTTTATAAGATTGTATATAATATTCTAGCAGAAAGATGGAATAAAAATAATACTCCGCTTTATTACTTAGTTCACGCTCAAAATTCAATGTAAAATTCAAATTTCTTCTGACTTTGAATTAATCCTATTTTTTACTAGTAATGTCACTTGTTAGACACATTTTATTAGGTATTACAGCCATATTTAAGTAAATGAAGCTCGAAACTGTGCTTACTTTACATAAAGATATGAATATATCAATTAAAGGAACAAATACCTGAAAGGGATTTTTTTTTTAATTGCTGAAAAAAGTTTAATCATTGATTGGAAGTTTGCTAATTACTTTGGATTCAAAGTAGCTTAAAAAGATAAAGACTCAATAACTTTAGAAGCATTACAGATAGAAACATGTATGAAGTTAGTTTCCCAATGTTGTAAGTTTGACTTTAAATTGTTTCCCCAACCGTGTTTAGCTTCTTATTATGAAAGAAGTTTGAGTATAAATTATTTTATTACCTCACTTAAAAGGAACAATATCACTCATCAAATAGGAGAAGTTTTAATATTTAAGCATATTAATCTCTATCATCTATCTAAGAGCCCAAAATACACTTGAGAAGAGATAATTGTGAGATGTTGGAGGCGATACATTAGTTATAATGAACGTTATTGGGAATACTTGAAGTTGATAATCAATGCTTAAAGCCTATATTTTTTCTTGGATGAAGATGAAGGTATCAATGAAGAGGATAGGATTATGGGCTAGCACTAATAATTAACCTAAAATTAAATGCATTACCTCCAATTAGAGATGATCATATTGCTAAATCTTATTTTATTTTATTATGAATGATATTGGAATTAAACTTTTAAAAAAAAAAATTTGATATTTTAAATTTAGTATTAATATTATCCAAATAGCTTTTATTATTGCAATGTTTATTTTATAATTGCATACTTTATTTTGTGATGTTTTTAGCAGAGAATAATAAAAATATACATTTTATATGAATAATTTATTAAGTACTCCACTTTAAATTTTGAAAATATACATTTTCTAACAAAAATGTTATAGCTTTTCATCCATTATTGTACAAAATTTAAACTAGTAAAAAAACATGCATTCCACTTTTTTAAGTCTTTGTAGAATACATGAACAGAAAAAAATGCTCCTCAGATTGTCAAACTCCAAACAAGTGAGAACATGATCAGAATTCAATACATATCTGACAATTGATAAAAGCATTTAAGGAATCTCAAATTGATAACAACAAAACTACCATAAACATTCAAATTCTAATTCCAGACACTGATAACTAATCATAAACTCTCAAGTTTTAGACGAGCATAAGATGGATAAAATACAAAGTATTAGCTTAGTCACAATTACAATGCACTAGAAAAAAAAAGATCCAGCAAAGTAACAACTAAAAAATGAAGTTTATATCGCAAGAAAGATGCATAGCCAATTCGTCAAACAAATAATTCTCAAAATAAGGATAAAATGTTGATACTTCTTTGTTTAATCTCCTATATGTAAAAAAATTCCCAGAAGATGTGTACTTTCATAACAAAAGTTTATAAGTTTAGCGATAACATACCTTGTCCCTAGTCAAGCCACCTGAACCAAACAATCCATTATTTTCCAAAGCTGAGAGAACTCTTTCCTGAAAATAGTTTACCCTTGATTGAAAAATACCAAAATTAAAAGATCAAAAGCAAACAAAAAAGTTCTTTTACCCTGGGTAGAAAGAAAAGTTCTATGCATGATAGACAAATTAGAAGTCAAAAAAATATTCTAAAAAGCAAACTTTAAACAGATAAAGAAAACCGCTTTTATCATTCAATGACTAAAACACTGCTAAGAAAGATTCTCAAAAATTTTACTCACATTAAGTAAATCAAAATCTAAGTCTTGTCATTCCACAATTACTTCAAACAATATTATTTGATGCATCTTGCATCTTTATGCTTCCTTCACTTTACCTTTCCTTCTATGCAAATCTTGATGTGCATGAAAACAACAAAGAAGAGCATTAAGGGACGTGCATCTATGAGGTTTCAAAATAATAAGTAACTTATTGTCAGCATAGTTTAGTATCATCAATGAAACCCTCAAGATCAGAAGATGCCAACTAATCGAAATTTTTTAAAAAATATTTAAAAAGATTAAAAATTACGATATTTGTGAAAGAACCAAATTTATGCTACATACAAGTTAAAAGAAAAGAGCACAGTAATGAAACAAAGGTTAATCAAAGTTACGAAACAAATAGGCAGACCTGCGTTTTTTTATCACCTTATCTTGAATGGACGTGACTTGAGCATTTTCCCTAATACAAACCTTTCTTAAATGCTTAGGCAAGTTCAATGGTAACAGAAGATGCATCAAGAAGGCAGGTTGATACAAAACAATCATGAGGGATTATAGCATCTATCAGTGATAAATCTTGTTTTCAGGATTGTAGTTTTGAGGAAAGCTTTAGAGAATGTAGCGCAGCCTTGTTAGGGGTTGTTGTAGGATTCATGCTTGTGCCTTATCTTGCCTTTGTTAATCATAAGTTTTGCCTGAATGCAGCTCAGTTTCTACTCACAGAATAAATCAATATTGCGGTTATTTTAAATTCAATTTGTTTTGGGATAAGGCACAAGAGTGAACTTAATGGTTATCCAGAATAGTACTAGGTTGGCTTTGTAACAACTATATCCACTAAATTGGAGATGAGAGCTCCATAAATAGATATTTTGAGATATGTCATAATAATCTTTGATTGAAGAAAAATTTTTCTTCCATATTTCAATATTTTGTGTACAAGTTAAACGTATGATTCTTTCAAGTGTGATACAAGTCATTTACTTGTGTTAACATGAGGCTAGAGTTTCTTATTTCAATAACTACTATTTTTATCTAATTTCTTTTATATAATTTATTATTGAATTTTTAGTGCTCTAGATTTTCTTTAAATTTAATAAAGCTGGGAATATATTTACAATGTTAAAATTATAATTGCTTGATGAATTTATATTATTCAAATTTTCTATTGATTTCATAAAATATATGTGGTCATTATATTACTTGTGGTATATGTATCATAAGTTCTCATGCCTCATCTGCATACATTGCATCATTTTAGTTGCATTAGAAAATCCTAAAAAACCAAACAACCATACAACAAATTAGTATCAAATATTATGATTATGTTAACACATCAACTACAGGTCAGACATTAATTGGGTCATCAAAAGTATTTAATTAAAAACGCTATTTAAGGGATCGACTGGTTTGCTAAAAAAGAAATGCAATGTAAAAAAAATGTAGCGTAAAAGTGATGTATTGAGCATCAACGGTGACGGCAGTGGCCACGCCAATGGTGAGGGGTGGCAGCTAGCGGTGGTGGCAGCAGATAATCGAGGTCGCAACAACAAACGATGGTCTGGGCTGCCGCGACGACACCTGGCAAGTGAGGTGGCCAAGTCAACAGCAACACCACCCGCCAAGCTGTATTAGTCGAGGAGGGAATGGCCAAGGGCGATTGGCGTTGCAGCGACAATAGTAGTAGGCAAACAGTGGTCGAAAGTTGCAACTGTATTTGGGATAGCAGCGGTGAGCAGGGGCGGGGACGGCCATGTCGGTGGCTGAATGTGGCAACGGTGGTGGGAGTGCAGTGGGAGGTCACAGTTGTTGCAGTAGGTGCAGTAGCCAACACCATTTGCAGTGTATTTAGATATTGACCAATTCTAATGAATTTAAAACTATGTAGCACCGAACTTCTAAAAAAAGTATCGTACCAATGTCAGACACGTATCGAACACCGACACTTGTCTAACACACCCCGACATTTCTCGAACACCATAAAACATGTCTGAATTTTCTTAGGCCTGAATACGTATGAGACACATCTCGACGCCGCATAGAATGTGAACTTAACACGATTGCGAGAAAATGAGATTCCATAATGAGAAAATTATAAATATATGTAAAGTTTTAATTAAACCTCATAGTTGAAACCGTCTCATCTCTTGTCACGTTGAAGCTCACTCTAGCATTCATCAAAATCGAGCATCAAAGGTGAATCCAATATTCATCGAAACCGAGAATTAGTAATTCTCTCTTTGTAATCATAAGATTTTTTAAATTTTAGTAGATAAATTGAATTATAAGTTAGATGAATTCTTTTAAAATATATTATATCTAATTTTAAAAATGAATTTGCATAAGCATGATGTTTTATAATATAAATTAAATTTATGAAGTTAAATTTTATTCTTACATAATTTATGTTGTGATATTTTTAATAAAGAATAATGAAAAAAAATATATATTTTAAATTAATAATTAATTAAATATAAAAAAGTGTCCATGACGCGTCGTGTCCTATTTTTTTCAAATATATTATGTCCTCATATAACTAATGATGTTATTTAAGGGATTGACTGGTTTGCTAAAAAAGAAATGCAATGTAAAAGGAAATGCAACATAAAATTGATGTACTGAGCATCGACAGCGACAGAAGGTGGCCACGACAGCGGCAAGGAATAGCAACTAGCGGTGGCAGCAACAGATGGTCGAGGCCGTGACAGTAGGAGATGATCTGGGCTGTCGTGACAACACCTGGAAAGAGAGGTGGCCAAGGCAACAACAATAACACCCTCCAAACTATATTGGTCGAGTAGGGAATGGCCAAGGGCGACTTGCATTGCAGCAACGACGTAGTAGGCGGATAGTGGTCGGAAGTTGCGACTGCAGTTTGGGTTGTACTGGCGGCAAGCATCAGCAATGGCCAGCGGCGGCGATGTCGGTGGCTGAATGTGGCAGCGATGGTGGTAGTGTAGTGAGAGGTCGCAGTTGCAGCAGATGCAGTAGCCACCACCATTTGCAGTGTATTTAGATATCGCCCAAATCTTAAGGAATTTCAAACACTCAAAATGACTTATTAACTCCATTTGAAATTCATCACAATCATATAATGAATTCCTTTCTGAGCCAACCGCACAACCAAAAATTAGACTCGTACATTTCAAATGCAACACACTACCTTTCCAGCCAACCAAACAGCCCTAAATTATCAAACAACAACAAAACTACTATAGGATTTAAAATCGCATCCTTTAATTCAACGGGATGTATGATTTTAAGAAATTTCAAGATGGAAAAATGATTTTGAAGATTTCTTAAAAAAAATACAATTTATTTAATTCTCAAAGAGTTGAATGTCCCAATTAGAACTAGTAGATAAGCTCAATATTTTGGAGAGATGTTACTAAGGGCCGGCGTTTTTGAAAACGCCGTTTTTATGTTTGGTTCGCACGTTTTACTTGTGTTTGTCAAAACACCGATTTACAGCGTTCTATTATTTCTATTAGACACGGATTGCAGGTATAACCCCGCGATCCAGCGTTCTCAAACCTGATCCGACTAGCGCTCTGCCGAAGCTAATCCCTGCCGAAGGAAGCCAAAGGAAGTCACTGCCAAAGGAAATGCTCCTACCTCTGCACTGCTCATCCCTGCCGAAGGAAGCCGCAAGCAACGCTCCTACCTCTCCGCTGCTCATCACTGCATCAAACGAAGTTCACCACTGCTCATCCCTGCCGAAGGAAGCCGCAAGCAACGCTACTACCTCTCCGCTGCTCATCACTGCCGAAGGAAACTCTGATTTTTTTTAGTTGAGTGATTTACCTCTGATTTTTTTTTGCAGTAAAATTTTCTTGTTTACTTGAGCGATTTACCTCTGATTTTTTTTTTGTTCATGCTTCATTTAAAAATTTCTTTTGTGAGACTGCTGAAAGTAAAATTTAAGTGTTAGATATGTAAATACATTGGAATTTTGTGGTATGAGTGTAAAAATGAAAGTTTTGATGTGCGATATGTAAATCCATAAGAATTGAGTGTTATATATGTAAAAATGATTTTTTTTGGATTTTAGTATGTTGAATGTGTTCCATTACAATACTATTGCGAACAGCTTCATTGTACGTGGCCAAAATGATTATTTTTCCATAAAAAGTTGCAAATCAGTTGTTCTAAAACCGCAGAAACCAAACAGCGTAACAGTTTATTCAGTTCAGGGGCAAAATGATCATTTATCCAGAAACAGCTACAAATCAACTGTTTTCCAAACGCACAAACCAAACAACCAGTCAGCTTATTCGGATCAGCTGCTCATCAGCACATTATCAGGATCAGCTGCTCATCAGCAAAAGCTGGATAAGCTGCAGCTACCCCAAACAGACCCAAAGAGAAACTCATAATTTGGCGAATAGATTGCTCAACTACATTATCAACTTAAGTATTATAAATTATGTAAATATATTATCCAGTATTATGAATAGTGAATAGAATTTCATTTAAATATTATTTGCCTTGAAATTATCTTTCTACTATTATTTGTTTCACCAAAGGTTCTACGTGAAAAATTAAGAATAAAATAAGCTATAGTTCAGCAAAAACCTTAAATAAGACTTTATATAAGGCTTTGGATATTGATGAGTCCTACAAACAAAATAATTGAACCAGCACTTACGTGATTCATGCCTCTAAAAAAAAGAAATGCCATCTTCTATGAAACATGTTACATACACCCTAAAATAAAAATCATGTATGGTTGATGTTAAAATTGATAAAAGGCAATTCATGAATATTCCTTAGAGGGGACGTTAAATGAAATGG